CTGAAATATTTGTATGATGCATTTAGTTTAACAGGCAGCTATAATTGGTATGTAAAAAGGTAAATAGTATTTTCAAATTTATGATTGCAAGAATATTAACTTCATTCTAGATTCTATTAAATAGTCCTAAAATTATAAATAGTTATATTTTTTTTAGATTTGATAAATATAACAAAATATGTATCCAGCTAATTTTTTCAACAAGTACTTTGAGAAAAAAAATAATATCAGAGTTGATTAAATGAGTTAATGTTATTAAGAAGTTCTCATACTTTATTTTTTAAATATACTGCAAAGTATTAATTAAATTTGAGTCATTTGGTCTTAACAGTTGTCATACAGGAATAAAGTGTTGCTGCCAACACTTAGGTTTGAACACACATCGTCAGAGAGTAAGCACAGCTGACCTCATCTTGAAATAATTATATCACGTGATGGGTAAAGGAAAAATATATATATATATATATATATATATATATATATATATATATATTAAAGTGTGCTATATTTATGAGATAAAGTGCTTAATATCAGATAGAGTGTGTGTAAATATAAAGTGAACACTGAAATCAACACTTAGAGGCGTCAGGCTAAGTGTTGACTTCAATGTTCACTTTTATATTTACACACTTTATCTCATAAATATAGCACACCTTAAGAGTATATTTATATATATATATATATATATATATATGTATGTAATTAGCAGTGTTTGATCCAGTATTGTTCAAAGGTGTTACTATTAATGTTATTTGTGATTTACAAAGTCTCTTCTACAAACAAGCATTACAAAAGTGGTGACAAGCATTCATTGAAGTTACATGAGGAAAAAATAAAATATACGTATCCTACGCGTCATAATAGGATATTCAGTAATATTTATCAGTTCACCAAAGAGACATCAGAGAAATAACCAGGTGAAGTTATTCAAAAATTAATCTACAAAATATTCAGTGGGGTACAGCAAAATGGAAGAAGTAAAAGCTATCATGATTCAAATACTGGTGCTACAAAAGCAACAAGAACAACAATTACAGCAACAAAAACAACAATTACAACAACAGAAGTTTTTTAATTTTTTTTTACTAAAACTATGGAAGAAAAGACTTCAGATTCATTCACTCCAGATGCTGTTGCTAATTCAATCAGTGAATTTGTTGTATACAATCCAGATGAAGGGATAACTTTTTCAGCTTATTATAGAAGAATTGAAGGGATTATCAAAAGGGATTGTTCACATTGGAATGATGAAAAGAAAGTTGTTCATTTATTATTAAGGAAATTATCCCCTCTGAACATGAAAAATATGTGAATTATATTTTGAAAAAAAAACCCTAAAAAAAACACAACATGTGAGATAAATTTTGATGAAACTGTTGTAATACTATCAAATATTTTTGGTGATAGGAACTCATTATTCAATACACGATGGCAATGTCTTAACTTAGTAAAGTGCAACAATGATTTTTTCACTTATGCAGGAGTTGCGAATCGAGAATGTGAGAAGTTCAAGTTAAATGAATTAACTCCAGATTTATTTAATATTCGTACAGAGTTTAACTTCTAACAAGGACATGCAAATAAGATCCAGGATACTTGCTAAATTAGAAATGGATCCCAAATTAACTCTCCAGAAAATAGTGGAAGAGTGTCAACGTATTGTAAATCTAAAACTTGATACCACAAAGATTGAGGAAAGAGACATTTCACAAGTAGACCATCTAAGAGAAAAGACATTTTTCAAATCCTAACAGAACAGTAAAAAAAGATGATAAACCCCTTCAATACCTAATACTTGCCACAGTTGTTGAGGTAAGCATTTCAAAAGTAATTGTTTTTTCAAGAACAAAAAATACTACAAATGTGAGAGGGTAGTATACAAAAGGAAAATAAAACATGTATGAACATGATAAATACATGGAGTATAAAAGTATAAAAGGAAAATTAACAAGACAGAAGAGGAAATTTATTTTTGTGCAAATTAATAATGTAAAAATAAAATTGCAACTGGATACAGGATCTGATATCACTATCATAAATGAACAGACATGGAGAAATATGGGTAAACCCAGTTTATTGGCTTCTGATAAAGTTGCATATGGAGTCTCAGGAAAGAGATTGAACTTTTTGGGTGAATTCACCTGTAACATTTCTTTTGTTGGAAAAACCAAGAAAGCGATGGTGTTTGTATTAAAGAATACTGCTAATTTATTTGGAACAGACTAGATTGTATTATTTAATCTTTGGGACCTTCCAATTAACTCTTTTTGCAACAAAATAAATATTGTTACCTCCAGTGCTAATATAATAACTGAAAAATTAAAGAATGGATTGAAAAAGAGTTTTCCAGAAGTTTTCTCAGAAGGTTTAGGGACATGCACAAAAATCTAAAGCTAAATTTGAATTAAAAGAAAATGTAACATTAGACATTTAAGCTAAAAATTAACAGTTTGTTAAAAAAATAATAAAAATCTTTAGAACCAATTAATAAGGAATTAGACAGACTAGAAAAATTAGGTATGATCTCAAAAACAGACTATTCCAAATGGGCATCACCAACAGTACTAGCAGATGAAGAGTGCTTAAAACTATTAACAGTTAACACTCATAGAGGATTATACAAATTTAACTGACTTCCTTTCGGTATAAAGGTAGCACCAAGATAGCAACAGATTCTTGTGTGTTTGGATTGTGCACAAGCATATTTAGATGATGTACTTATTAAAAGTAAGACCTGAAAGCAACATACAGAAGATGTAAAAAAGTATTTGAGAGAATTAAAGAATATGGTTTAAGACCAGTGAAAGAAAATGTGAATTGTCCACACTTAAATATCTAGGACAAATTATTGATTTAAAAAGTAAACGACCAGATCCTTCAAGGGCAAGCATAATAAAAGACATGTCCGCTCCAACAAATGTAAGAAAGTTACAAGCATTTTTAGGGTTTGCTAATTACACACACACACACACACACACCAAACATGCACAAATTAAGAGAACCCCTCAATAACCTGCTAAGGAAAGATGAAATGGAATTGGTCAGATAAATGTCAAAGAGATCAAGAAAGTCTCAACGTCAGATTTGTCACTAGCTCATTTTGACCCTAAATTAAAGATTGTGGTTGCATCAGATGCAAGTGATTTGGGTATTGGTGTGGTGATATTACACAAATATGAGGACAGAAAAACTAAACCAATAGCTCATGCTTCAAGATCATTAATTGTAGCTGAAAAAAGTTACAGCCAAATAGAAAAGGAGGCATTGACCATCATATTTGCTATGAAAAAGTTTCATAAATTCATACATGGTAGAGAATTCATACTACAGACAGATCATCATCCATTATTGTCCAAAAAATATACAGCAAATAGACTGCAGCACTGGGGAACTATACAGATGGATTATCTAGACTAATACTAAAATTCTGCGAACCACTTGAGGACACAGTAATTGTGGCAATAAGGGCCAAAAATTAAATTAATAATGTATTATACAATACTGTATGAGAAAAGTTGAAAAAGACAACTCTCTAATGAAAATGAAGAAGCAATTAAGATTTAAAGGAAAAAAAAAATATTACTGGAAATAATGCATTTTCATTATGTGATGATGTACTTATGAACACAGAAAGAATTGTGATACAAGCATTGCTGCAAAAACATATGTTAAAAGAATTTCACATAGGACATCCAGGAATTTCTAGAATGAAATCCTTAATGAGGTGTTTTACTTACTGGCCAAAAATGGATCAAGATATCAAAAATTTAGTGAAACCATGCAGAGGTTGTGCTCTTGCAGCGAAGTCACTGCCTATCAAAATTCAAACATGGCTGAAAACCGATATACCATGGTCCAGAATACATATAGACTTTGCATGAATGTTAAATGGAGCATACTATCTATTGGTAGACGATAGCTACACTAAATGGCCAGAAATATTAAAATGAAGACTGACTACCACAGTAATGTTAAATTTCCTACACAAGACTTTTGCAAGGTTTGGTGTTCCTATCGTTTCAGATAATGGGACACAATTCCTCTCTAGTGGATTTAAGGTTTATTGTAAATCATTAGCAACAGAACATATTACAACTCGCCCTTATCACCCAAAATCAAACGGACAAGCAGAACAGTTTGTAAATATGTTTAAAAGGGCATTAAAAGATGCTACAAGAATTTCTGAATGTTTTCAGAATAAGACCAAACCTGAATACTGTGTCTGGAATGTCACCTGCAGTGTTGATGTTCACCAGGAAGATTAAGTCCGTTTTTAATAAATTATTACCAGAACATAAGGCAAGAACAATATAAGTAAATACTTCAAACCTGGAGATAAGGTATTTTTTAAAATGTATCAACATGAAAAAGAATTCTGGGAAGATGGTGCCATAAAAAAACAGATCAGCAAAATGACATACATGATACAGGGACAAAGGTGGGAACATAAGCGACACCATAATAAGTTAAAATGTAGATTCACCGATTTAAAAAGTCTCTAAAAAAGGGCTACCTAGGGAAATTTTGTATGACACATTTGACATACCCATACCATCAGAAATTGTTGAACCAAGGTTTTATGATAAGAGAAAAAGAATAGCAACAGAATTTCTAAATATTGAACCAAAGCTGAAGAAATATAGACCCCAGAGGAAGTCATCTCAATGGGGAAGTGTCATATAGGAATAAAGTGTCGCTGCAGACACTTAGGTTTGAACACAGTTCACCAGAGAGCAAGCACAGCTGACCTCATCTTGAAATAATTAGATCTCGTGACGGGTAAAGGAAAATAAAATATATATATATATATATATATGGGAATTATCAGGGTCTGACCCAGTATTGTTTAAAAGGCATTACTATTATTGTATCTGTGATTTACAAAGTTTCTCCTACAAATGGGCATTAAAAAACAGTATATTGAATAGAATATTCATTTTTCATTGGAATGTTTTATGTTACAATTGAGTTTGTATAGAAGACAAGAAAGTTTTTCCTACCTCATCAGATTCAAAGACATGGCAAAGAATCTTGGCCTGCTTCTTCCTGCGTAACGATTCATCCCCTGGACTGGAGAGAAGACGCCGGCGAGCCATGATTACCAGAATGTCACCAATGTCAGCAATATAGGAGATAGTCCGCAGGGAATGGTCCATCATAATTTCCTATAAAATAAAATTATTTTGTAGTGGTTATATGTTGCTGTAATTAAGTCACAGATGATCTGCAGAACTGAAGAGACAATACAAAGTTATTTTAGAATTTAATGTAGTAGTTAATGACAAATAAATGAAAAGATACAAAGGAAATCACTTCTATTGTAGATGAAATGCTAATAGCTCAGTAGAGAAATTTCTGTTTTTTGGTTTAGTTTGTAAAAGTATTTCAGAAATTTTCATTCCCAATTCAAGTTGATGTAATGGAATAACCAGTCACCCCCATGAATGATTACATGATAGGTAGTAAGTACCTATAAAGTCAAATGTCTATGAGAGACTCAAGGAAGAGTGAGAGCGAGAAGACGCAAGCACATTCGACCTTCCAATTAATGGCACTCACTACTAGATTGACCTGTGTGTATAACTGTACCGTATTTCATATTGTACTGGTTGTGTACAATAAAGCTTTCTTCTATTATCCAACTGGGGTTACGTATTTATTCCCTTAGCATGGAATATAACAGTGGCGGCAACGATTGTTGAAACGAATTCACACCAAAATTCAGTGATGCTAAACGAACTCGCTAGAAGAAAAATATTTGTTGGCTACACATTTGGGGTAGAGGACTTTCGAAGGAAGACTTTCTGAAAAAGGATTTATCTCTCAAAATATTTTTAAAGTAAGAATATTTTTGTATTATTTAACAAGAGTTATTTGAGTTTATCGGAAGGTAAAAAATCAAAGTTCGAGTATTTTGTTTGTTTGTTTTTTCTTGTCTGTCGTTCTGTTTCTGAAAGACTTGCCAGTTTCTGTATGGAACAATTAACAGAGCTCTCCTCACCCGAGGACATTTTCTCAAAATTAAATGGGGGTAAAATATACTCTAAAATTGATTTGTCAGATGCATACTTGCAAATCAAAGTCAATGAAGAGTGTTCCAAGTATTTGACAATTAACACGCATAAAGGACTATTTAAATTAAACAAACTTCCATTTGGTTTAAAAGTTGCACTGTCACTTTTTCAACAAATCATGGATACAATGCTTGCAGGGTTAGAATTTGCCATTGCTTATCTAGATGACATCTTGGTGAAAAGTAAAAATATGGATGAGCATAAAGAACACATAAGGGCTATCTTCAAGAGGATAGAAGAATTCGGATTCAAAGTGAACCCCGAAAAATGTGAAATTTTTATTGAAAAAATTAAGTATCTGGGGCAGATTGTGGATAAAGATGGCAGAAAACCAGATCAACAGAGAACTGAAGACATAAGAAATATGCCTGCTCCAGATAACGTGACAAAATTGCAATTACTTTTAGGTTTGGAGCAATACTACACAATATACATTCCAAAGATGTATGAATTAAGAGCACCGTTAAACGAATTGTTGAAAAAGGGGGCTAAATGGTGTTGGTCCAAAGACTGTGAAAAAGCTTTTCAAAAAAATTAGAAATTGTCTACCGACTGATTTAGCATTGGTGCACTATGATCTAGAAAAAGAAATCATTGTTGCTTCGGATGCTAGTGTATATGGAGTCGGAGCTGTGATACTTCATAAATACAAAGATGGTTCAACAAAACCAATTGCACACACTTCCAGGACTCTGTTGCCAGCAGAAAAGAATTACAGTCAGATTGAGAAGGAAGGTTTAGCAATCATTTTCGCAGTCAAGAAATTCTATCGTTTCCTTCAAAGTAGAGTGTTTACACTACAAACTGACCACATGCCGTTATTGACCATTTTTGGATCGAAAAAGGGCATTCCAACTCATTCTGCAAACCGATTACAATGGTGGGGCATAACATTATTGAATTACCACTTTAAAATGGAGTACATCTCATCTAAAAACTTGGGTCATGCGGATGGACTGTCAAGGTTGATTCCAAAACATAATGATGTTTTGGAAGAAGCTGTAATTGCAGCTTTAAAGGACGAACAAGAAATATCACATTTACTGTGTAATACTGTTAGGGAACTACTGGTGACGCTGAAAGACATAAGGAAAACAGCAGAAAATGATGATTTTAATAAAAACAAGCCAGGTTAAATGAGAGAAATAAAAAGGGAATGAAAATTTCTCTGTATTCAATTTGCAAAAATACACTAATGTAAGGTCTTATTAAGTTTACATGGTCGATCAGTATTTGTACAGCTTCCTGGTCCAGCTAGCATATGAAAGTGTCATCTATGTATCTCAGCCATACTGCTGACTTTAGTGTTGCTGATTCCTTGAAGTATCCCATCACTGATGACAACAGTGAACTTATAGCCAAGCCTTCTTCCTGTTTATATATGTCAGACTAGTTGGAAGAATAATTTTTGTACACAGAACATAAAGATTTAAAAGTTTATTTTAAAAAGAACCTTTTTTTTTTTTTAAACATTGGAATAATGTTTAAGTGTTTACCTATTTTGATATTATAAAAATCTATTATAACTAATAATGCTTTAACTGCTATCAACATTTATTGAAAAGACTATAGGTTTTAAAAATGAAAATTATAAACCTAAAATATTTACTGCATGAAATAAATGCACTTATGATCAAAATCAAATTATATTGTAAATGTCTGAGATAACCTGCTGGTTCCTTGATGGCATTTCACATGAGGTTACTTAGCACCTCTTTCCTGATACCAACACAGCAAGAAGTAATCATTAACCTGCTCTATAGGGAAAGGAGTTCATACTTTTACTAAGGGTGGGAAATGAATTTAATCTACCTTGTCTAGAAATTGAATCTCAATTCATAATTTCATTAACCATTAGGCCAACTACATAAACCCACAATTTTGATACATACAAATATTTACAAGAAAAAAGAAAAAAAGCATGCATATATATATATAAAAAATATGTCAAGTTAAACAGAAAGAAAAGTGCAATCTCTATATAATTACCTGTAAGTCTGTATTGAGGACCATAATCTTTTCAGTGGAGACAAACAGGTCCACTTCTGTGCTGGGTTGGTTCTCTCCTTCAGGAGCCTGTTAAAAACAGAGCAGATAATTACTAGTTAATCTCACTGAGAGAAAAAAAAAGGCATAAGAAACACTTGTACAGCTTGGTAGAGAAGTTAGCAAGGAGTGTAAATTTGTTTACTTGAAACAATATTAAGGAAATATTAACTATCAGAGTCATATAAAATGTATATCATTAAACATAGCATATTTGCCATAGAGTGCACAAGGAATTCTTTCAAAGCATGAATATATTTTCCTGCTCTAAGTCTAACATTCATATCAAAGAGAAAGTGGTGCTTTATCAATGTTTAAAAGGTTTTGCTTAGCTTTCACAAGCAGCTAAAATGTTTTCTACAGAAGTACACTGATATCCTCCAGTATATATAGAGATCTGTTAAAAAATCACATCTATGCTACAGATTTCTTGATGGTGTATAAAAAAAAAATTAAATATTCCTTTTTCATTACATTATTTTAAAATGTACAGATTACATGATATTTCTAAAAAGAATAATTTTATTATATTATTTCAGACAATAGTTATATATTTTTGATTTGGTGAAAGTCAACAATAGATGAAAAAAAAATCCTTAAATCCTTATTGGAAAAAATTATACACATTTGTTCTCTTCAAAATTATTGTTTACAGCTGAACATCAAATCAACGAGGAAAAAAAAATACAAAAAAAATTCTTAAATAGGAACAAATTTAAATTTGCATGACTCAGTGCAAATATTATGGCTTTCTTAATTAGTTTCTGTTTTTTAATTAGTTCCTTGTTTATGAAAAATTTAACTTTAAGATTAGTGTATTTTTAAATTCAATGGGGTTGACTTGGTATGGGTTTTCCCTAATTTCTATGCATATGACTTCATAAACAGATTTTTTATGAGCAAAACTGATTAAAAAATTCAAGTTAGTAAATTGTAACAATTAAAATTAGCCACTAAATAATGAGATGTATATCTTACCTACTTTACGAAATATTAAAATATATACAACACACTCAATTATCATACAAGATTTATAAAAATTATTCCAATGAGTTTATTTTATATATTAAAAAAAAAAAAAGGAAAATTAGAAAACATCCATTTATCTTGGCCATTCACAAAAAGTATGACTAATTTTATTAGAAGTCTGGTGTTTGCTTACATTATTCTCAAAAAGACAATGTCAAAAAAGATGTTAACTAATGTCTAATATTCCATTTCTCCTGAGTTTAAAAAAAAAATACAACAACCAAATTACACCACAAAAATACAACATAGCAAAAATGGGGTAATAACATTTAAATAAGTTTAACTACATGAAATTTAAATATGTAAAAGAAAAACAGTGATAGTAAACTTTTTAATAAAAATGTCCATATCAAATAAAATATTTAATGCAAAAATTTTAACTTAAAGAATTGGCATTAAAAAAAGAGAAAGTGGGTTAATTTTTAAAGAAATTATATGCGTGTCCTTTATTTTTTGATAGAAGCTAATCAACTTTTAATTATTATAGTATTTTGTTTACATGACAGTACATTACTAAGAAGTATACGATGCTACAAGTTAAGATTTTGGCTGTTTATACTAAAGGAAAATTTGCCAAAATATTATGTATATATTATTTGTTATGGTTTTAACTAACAGATCCACCAGAGGATCACAATAATTAACTATTTCTATTTTATATAAAATGTACATTATCAAAACTGTATTCTTCCTATTGAAATTCAAATACAGACAGAAATGTAATACATAAAAATTACCTATGTGTTATAGAACAGTTGAATAGTTACAATTAATAAGTTTACTGATTTTTAAAATAATTCACTTGAATGATATATATTGGTTGGTAAATAAGTTTGTTAAGTTTAAAAAAAAAAAAAAAAAAAAATGACATTAACTTTATCAATGGAAACATCACTATAGTACTATGCAGTCCTAAAAAATGAAATATGTAAGTCACAATTTTTTTTTTCTAATTTATCACTAATTTTATAACATTAATTTTTTGTAAAAAATATCTGTCATATTTTTGCTATCTTTTAGGCAGCTTCATAATTCAAATATTCCAAAGACATTTTTATCTTTTTCAGCCAAGGACTGTTCAAAATGTCTTTTGCAGTCTTTCAGGGAATTCATTTTTATTTTCATTTAAAGAATTCTGTAAAGCTTGGTGTAAGTGGAAATTTGAAGGTGCAATTCCTGCTGAAAAAGTAAAGAGGAATAAAAACTTCCAAATTATAACAACTTTTACCTGGCCATCAAAAATTATAATCCTTCAACATCCTGATAGTTAATTGAATTGTCATAATATTCTAATTGCAGATAACTTTCAACAATTGTTGTCTTCAATTAATCTAATTGGTAGATGTTTGAATCAACAGACTGATTCAACAGGTGCAGCACTTCTTTCTAATTTCACCTCACAGCATGTCCTTTTTTGTGAATAAGGACTAGTCTTTGGCAGAGTTGGTGATAGTCCATTTCTCTTGCCCCACAATCAAATCTCTTATATTGTTTTCAAGTATCCACTTTTTATTTCCCATCAAAATTGGGATATATGAAAACAACATTTTTTTTTTAATTAAATTGAAGTCTTGAAACCATACATTTTAGCAGTGTTATGGAAATCACACATCAAAGCTACTAAAAACTGTAGAAAAGTATTTTCAATGTCTGACTTGGTTCTCTTTATCTTATGATGCATAATACCTCAAGTAAGAGAAATTACTCTCTTAATTGTCTGAGAAACTTTTTTTTACCTTCCATCAGAATGGCTGATACTAACCTCCAGGAGAGTGACTCATTGCACCTTCTCAGACTAATGTTTTCCACTGACATGAAGTGGAAAGATTATATTGAATCAATTGCTAGGTTTGATGCTAAGAAAATTGGTTCATTGTGCTGTGACAATTTTTCTGACCAGAATCTATCTTACATATTAATAAGTCTATCATTTGTTCTTGCTTTGAATATTGCTGCCACACTTGGTCTAGAAATTCTTGATAAAATCAGCAATGTTATAGTTCCTGACCTGGCATCTCAGCTTAAGTCACTTTCCCCCACCACCATAACATTTTCCCTGTGCCTTTTCTATAAATACTTTCATGGTAATTGTTCTGATGAGCTTTCCTGTATAGTACATAGACTTTATGAATTTAAGCACAGTACTAGATTGGCAGCAAGGTCTCATAATTTTAAGTTGAAATGGCGAAATGTAATCATAAGTTAGATGCTAACAGTTTCTTCTATTGCATTTCTTACTTGTAGAAATCTTTTCCAACTTCTTGCTCCCCAGTCAACTTTGATCTTACAAAATTTAAATGAAATGTCAGTCATTATCTTCTGTCTTCTTAATTCTTGTTCTTTTATTGTTCCCTCTCTGTAAGTTTTTCTCTCTTGTTAATTTTTTTAAAATTCCCATTACAAAGTGATAGAAAATGACAGAGTATGGCATCTTGCTATCTTCATCATTTTGAGAAAAACACAAATCTGTTCTGCAGTAGAGACTTGCTCCAATATCAGGGAAACAAAAATAGCATTTTAGATAGAAGATGGCATTATGCACCATGCCAAAAAAATCTAAAATGGCAACCCCAAAAAGTTTTAACTTTCATAGCAAAGTTTGTCTTCTAATATGAATCCAGTTGAACATATCTGAACTATTTTAGATTGTGTAAAAATGGAAAAGTCTAGAAAAAAACCAAGAAACCATTAAGAAAACATATATGCAGTTTTTGGTTGTTTGGTCAGATTTGGGGAACTGGGTCAAGTTGAGAATTTTTAAATATAGCTTATTTGTCTTTGTAATGTTTCTGTAAAGCAAATCAAGATCTGTGATTGCAAGCTGAAATATTGGTCAAAGAGGTAGACAGATTTAAATTAATAAGTTTCATTTTTTAAAATGTTTATCTGAACATTTGTTTTCCCATAAATGATAGTTACATATAATTTTTTTTAATTTTTTGGTTATCATTAAATTATTTAATAACTTACTGGATTAAGACATAATATTAGGTATATGAAAGTTTACAGCAAAAAAAAAATTTTAAAAAATAAAAAAATAAAAATGAAAAACAGTTTTCAACTGTGTATCTAGTGTAGTTTTTGAGTGCTAAGAACATTTGTACACACCTACTATATTGTAGGCATGCAAATAGAATTCAATATTTGAGTTGCATTTTATATATATATATATATATATATACATATATATATATATATAAAATAAATTGATAATTTACTGGTACAGTATACAAAGTGATTTAGCATTTCCATTATATTCATTTGCATATGTAACTTAATGTATTGCATAAATATAAATAAATGAATTTTAAATGGTAATAAAAAATGCATGTTATAAAAATTATGCAATACACTTAAATAAGTTTCATCAAAATACAAATGCTATAACTAGACATATGCAGTGTGATCTTTTAAACATTTATTAAAATCTAATTGTTTCTTATCCTATCATTAAAAACTAACTTTGAATTCATCAATACAAAGATACAAATAAACCTGTTTTTTGATTTGGCCTAGAAAAATATAATAATTGATAAAAAACAATTGAAAATTAATTACTATGAAATGAATAACAAAAGATTATTAGTCTCACTTAAAAGATGAAATTGTTAAAACTTGAAATAAGAAAAACAAAACAATTAGTACCTTTGAAAAAACAGAACTAAATATTTCTAAAAAAAATAAGCATGTGCCTGTGTACACACACACACACACACACACACACATATATATATATATATATATATATAAGAGAGAGTCAATGACAAAATTATTCGTACACCCATCTTTATAACTTGCAATCATCTAAAGTTTTTGATGAAATTTGAACAAATCTTTTCTGAGATTTTCTTCCATTCTTCAATGGTTACACATTCTAATTCCTGAAGGTTTTTTGGTGACTGATGATTTATTTGAACTTTCAATTCTTGCCATAAATTTCCTACAGGATTCAAGTCCAGACTCATTAAAGGCCATGGCAGAACTGTAATCATCTTTTTCTG